AAGGAAATAAGGCAGTTTTGGAAGCCATAACCTCTGAATTGTTTAAATGTATCTATTATTTCTTTATACAATTCCAACTTTTACAGAGTCTAAAAGTAAAGTATGTTTCCTAGTTTTTCTATTAAAAATTGTCCTGTCCTGTCCTGTCCTGTCCTCCCATTGTTCATCGATTTGCTTGAGCGGGCCCAGTAACATCTCCATTGAGAGACTTCTTGTTACTGTGTCTGGCATAAAAATTACTGAAATAAATAATGAATTCAACATTCTTTTGTTTATTCTCATTCTTCATTTTATTTCTGGAGTGCTTGAGTTTTAGCCTTAATTTCCATCAAGTTACCTGTTCTTTCTTTGTTTTTATAGGGCAATTTTCCTGCTACTTTGTCAGTTTCTGTCCTTCATCGGGCATCCTACATGTCTGCACTTGTCAAGAGTTTTCACCCTGGGAGCCGGAGCAATAGTATGTACTGTGGATAGGGAACTTCCCCTGCAAGCATTAGATCTAGATTCAATCCGCAACACCCCATATTGTCACACAAGTCCCACATGGAGAGATCCTGAGCACAGAACTGAAAATAAGCTCTGAGCACTGGCAGGTGTGGCCAAAAAAAAAAAGTTTTTACTCTGGTACTCTACCCATCTTTCTTGATTTACATCCTCTCTCCCTAATTTGTCCTCTCAATTCTGATCATATGTGGCAGTATTCTTTCTAGACAGTCTACCACAGCTATCCATCATATTGGCATAAACTGGCCACAATGTTGCATTCACACCTTATTAATTTAGTCAGCATATTACTGGCTGTCTATTTCTGCAGGTGTAATAGATACTAGACAGTGTGCTAGAGATAATTTTTAAAAAGGCCTCTTTTTAGATGTCCTTACTTTTCCAGTTATCAAATTAAAATATTCGAGGCACCTCTGAATTCCTCCACTAATCAGTATCTATACTCAACATCAATTTGGGCTCAGAAACATCTTTTTTTAATGCCCCCTTGTAGTCAATACCCACTTTGACTATTTAATTTTTCCTGAATTACACTATGACAACTTTCAAAGTTTGATGATTTCCTCTACATTCTCTCACTCACATATAACTCTAATTCATTCCCAAATAGAGCTATAGAGTTAGTCATCTTAAAACAAAGTTGAGTTCGTAGTGGTTTCCTTTTCAAAATACATTCAAAAAGATCTCACTGAATAGTGAAAACATTTCTTCAACTTGGGACCTAAGGCTCCTTCTGATGTATACTGCTGAATAGAATGGAATTTTTCACTTTCTATTTTCAAAGAGTAGATTATTAGTCATTTCACATAGTATATCCTAAACAATATTCTTTTATCTTTCCGACCTTACCATCTAAGACTACCCTTCATTTGTCCTCACTCTAGAATATAAATGAAGTCAATATAACTTTCCAAGCATGTTCACTTCCTCTTGTTTCATTGCTAACCTTGTTCATTCTTCTTGGAGCAATTCCATGCATTATCTCTCCCTTGAATACTTCTATTCAACCCTTAGTTCCAACTCAAAAGACTCATCCTCCCTGAAATATTTCTTGTTGAGTCCATTTTCAGTTATTATTAATACTTTACTATACAAAGTTCATGAAAAAATTAAACATGTGTGTCTTACAGTACACCAATGAGCCCTGGTGTACATCCTTGTCTTATTCTGTTATATCTACTGTTTTGTAAGTTTTCTTAGTATGTTGACCCTTTCCTAATTGAGGATCTTAGTGCTATTTGTGTGATTACCAAGCCTTTGGTTATTTCGCACTATATATGATACTTTTCCTGGTTTATTCACTTTGATCATCTAAAATTTTTCTTCCATCATTTCAATTAAAAATATTTGCAATGTGTGAATTTTAGATATGATTTGTAGCTGCTGAATTATCTGACCAACTTTCTTATACAGATCATGAAATTCAGTAATATGACTAACATAATAACACACATTTACTTATTTTAAAATTTTCTAAATTATTACATTATTCTTTAAACATAATGTAATAATATTCACTTGATCACTTGAACACTTAACATCCCATTACTCATCAATTTGCTTGAGCGGGCACCAGTAACATCTCCATTCGTAATAAAGGATAAAGGATTCATATAAAGGATAAAGTTAGTTCCAATAAATGTAATATACATCTTAAAATGTAATATATATCAGAGTGTGAATAAAATGGAGACCAGATCAATCTCCCAGACTCTAAAACTTCAGTGAGATGACCTATGTTTGGGATACTTTCTGGCATGTTTTATATATATATATATATATATATATATATATATATACATGTGTATATATTTATACATATATAACCAATAAAATAAAACAAGGAAGAATAGTATTATGTACAATTATAGCTCTAGAAGTTTCTTTACTGATACCTTAAATAGATAGATGATGTCATACTAGTCCATAATGAACAACAAAGCATTTAAAAAGACTATGACATCATTTCAAGCATTACATTGGAAGAGAGACTGAGAGAGAGAGAGAAGAGAGAGGCCTCCACCCCTCTACTGCAGCAAAATCTTGGCTGAAGACATGAAGAGCAATAAACAATGTCAAAGCCTGGGAGTAGTATTTAGGAAGCAAAGTCCATAAAGCAAAGCTCATGCTGCAGTTTGGCATCTTTCCCCTGGCTGATGAAAGTGAAAGGGGACATTTCAAAAATTCTTTCCATCTTAACCGAAAACCTAAGGTTTGTATTAGGTTTGAAAAATTCTTTACCATATAGCCTGGAGAAATTTCTGCACATGGTTTGCCTGATTTTCTGCCCGGTATTCATTACGTTATTAATTAGAGACATATAATGGATAGTTTGGGTTACTATAAAAAACATACCAAATTTCTGTTTCAGATATGTAATTTCATTAAAAACAAGTACAAAAATAATGGTGGAAAATGATGCTGGACCTATTTATCCATAAAGTAATTAAATAAATCTTTCCTATACTTTTAAGTTCCAGGAACTACACTATGTGCTGAAGATACAAATGAAAAAATAAATCAGCAAAATTTTAATAAATGAACTTATGTCATGAAAGATGATATTTAAAAAACTAGAGATGTCTGAATCCCTCCAATTGCAATTATCCAGTTTCATTTGAAGATAAAGTAGATGTTGAGTAAATTTATTACACAAAGTCTGTCAAGACTCCCCTAGATAAATTCTAAATTAGTCTTAGAAATCAAGAGCTCTTGGTAAAGTAATATACCACCAAGGTATCAAGAAGCTCTTGGTAAGGTAATATACCACTTTCCCAAAGCCCAGATAAATTAGATAAGAATAATTAGTTTCTACCGATAAAATATTAAATACTTTTATAAAAATGTTTGCATAACTTCATACTTTTCCAATTCTGTTAACATTGAAAAGTTCAAAATTAATGAGTTGCCAAATGAATCTAAATATTAGGAAACAAATCCTCCCATGAAATAGATACTGTATGGGTTCGTAAATGGAAAAATACCAAATGAGTTTTCCTCATCAAACCTGAAATATTTCACTCACACTGAGTAAAACCTGAAAAAAGAGAATGGTCCCAAGGGTTTTACAATATCCAAAAGGGATAGTAAGTCCTGTTTGTGTATTTCATATGTGATTCCACTTACTGAGTAAGTGGGGGAAAAAATGCAATCTATTTCACGTAACTTTGAGCCTAGTTTTGTACATTTTCTCCATCATCTTAAATCATACTATTTTTTTAATATACTGATTTATTGAATAGCATTTTCTTATACAAAAATTTAATGTGATGCTTTCTGCACTTTGGAGTCTGGTGATAGTGGTGTCAGCCCCTTTCCTTTCTCCCACAATAACTACCCCCAGTAGCCAGGCACTTAATAAGTGCTTGTGGAATGAATGGATTAAGCCCTCATAATTACACACTGCAGAGAAAATTAAACAAGAACAATACATTAGTCTCCTGCCACAGCTACAAATCTTCATGTTCACAGGTGTAAATTAATCTAACTTCTGGTAATTCAGGATCGGTATTTGAGCCTTAGTCATTTTGTAAGTAAAATAAAAACTAATTTCAAAAACCTAATTTGACTGCATGAAATATGTTTCAACTGAGAGTCTGGAGGAGACATAGTATGCAAATGCCCAGGGAATATTGAAAAGATGCTATTGATCTCGGCAACACAGAAAATGTCTTCCATTTTTTAAAGGCAAATTACAAATACAGAAATACAGATTTTATGGTTAAAATTAAGAAAAAAATAATCTTGACAAATCAAAGAAAACATAGTATCTATAACTGCCATCTCCACTCAATCTACATTCTGAATCTGAATTTGAGAATTGTTATTTTTATGCAAGGTCTAAGGCCTTAACTCAATGAATTCAACTGCTTTGATAGCAAGATGAAGGATTACTCTCTTACGCTGTCTATGCCCAATAAAGAGTACAACTTAAAATCAGTTCTTTTCAAAGCTAACAAGGTTGGTCTTTATATGTATCTATTGTTAAAGACTCAAGAATCAGTGAAGAAGTAAAAAATATATTTTATGTGTAAATCCAACAACACTGAGTCATTCCTGGCTTTCTTCTCTAGCACACATTTTACCTGGTAAGCATAAGCCATTTCATAGAGCCATTAAAAAAAATCACAGGATTCCCTCTGACAGAATCACTGACATAGTACTTTTAAATTCATATTATTTAATTTCCTTAAAGGTAGATAATTTTAGACAGTTTTGTTTTAGTGGCATCAATGATGATAAATAAGTAACTCACTGATATTTGTTAATAAGATACAATATAGATAAAATTTATAATTCTTTAGACCACCTAATAAAAACAGACTTGGATAATGGCATTCTCTACATAGCACATTCTAATCTGCCATGAACAAAGATCAATGTAGGTTTAAAGATAAAGGATCGACTATGGATATATTAATTTAAATAAAAACATTCCAAACCATCCCTGATTTTCCCTCATTTAAACATCCAAACATAAAAAAAAGTGTTGGTACCTTTTAATTTTCTGACTGAGTGGTTTCCATTCAACGTTTTCTCAGTTACAGACGAGAAGCTGAAGAATCTACCGAAACAAGACAAAAGAAAAAAGTACATATAGAGACAGACATTTTAAGTGAATATGAAAAAATCATAACTCACCAGTATTCAAATGTGTTCTTTCTATAAGATTATAAATCTATGTCCTGGAATCAGTAGTACAAAAGATGCAGCACTTGGATTCTCAGGAAGCTCAACAAAGAATTTTAAACATTACACTTGGAGATCCCACACGGCACACATAGTCTTTGAAAAAGGCATTAAAATAAAACAAAGTAATTAAAAAATACAAAACAAACAAACACCCAAATCATTACCAGTGAATAGGGAGCAATACCAGCTAAGCCTAGCCTTTGAGTATTGCTGCAGAATCCTGCTCCACGAGCATTATCTCCATGGGCTGGCTCTCCGGAGAGCTCTAGACAGACGCAGTCTGCAAGCTCCGGCTCCTGTCTGTGTGTGTCGGCAAAAGGGAAGCTGCAAATTAGAAAAAGTCCCCGCAGTGGTGAAAAGGAAAATAAGGCGAGTGGGAGCAGGAGAGAGCGCTCACTAGCTTTAGAATGTTCGAGAATGATGACAAGCCACCCAGCTCCGCCATCATTCACTGACAATAAGATGCAGCCCAGGCTTAGGATTTAGCAGTTTGCCATAGGGGCTTCTGGTAGCAAATGCCTGACAGGCATTTTAATTGCCTCCATCCAAGTGTGTCCCCAGGAGTTGAGTCTATAAGTCTATGAATGTCATCATCTGGTCTCCTTTGTGTTAATGCCAGACACACACACACACACACACACAAACACACACACACACACTCACACACACACACATACACATGGCAGTTTTACAGCATTTAAGATTACAAGCAAGGTACGCTATAGAAGCAGTATGATTAAACGATAAGGTATGGCAAATTTTATTATCTGCAAAAAATGACATCAGGAGCTCCGTAATGTTTTGTCATTAAGAGAAAATTACACTTTTTAAAATTATCTATCACATACTGTTTTTTTTTATATCTTAAGATAAACAATTGTGCTAATAGAGAAATAGGAATATTTGTATATATTTTCACGTGGAAAATTCATTTCCTTAGAACTGAGGTAATTATGCACTTGGCAATGCTTTGCATATAAGGAAAAATGCAGCGAAAAACAAAAGAGATTAGAAAATTGGTTAGAAGGGTGCTTTCGGCAAGCAATCTATTTTGTACCTTTTATATATATAAAAGCAAGAGGAGGGGGCTGTCAGCTTGAGCATTAGGACTTAAAAGTCCCCGAGGACAATGCAAGGAATTGAATCTCTGGCATAATCAGAATCTCCTTTATGTTGACAACTGAAATTAACAGTTTACTATCCCTGTTTTACAGAGCCCCTTGTATAGGAAGGCTAACAGTGAAATAAAAGCCTTACATTCATTTCCTGGACAAAAGGGATGAGAAAAAATGTTAATAAATACATTAATTTTTACAGCATTATTAGCACCCTGCCATTGTCAAAGGAGCAAAATTTGATGTACACCAAAGAGGCCAGCTGTAAAGAAGGTTGCTGGAAAGGAGCATCACCATGGTTACCGGAAACAGAAAGTACAGAGAAAAGTAGGTGCTGATAAAGAAGGGGAAACCAAACTATGGGAGGGGGGATTTCAAGACAGAGTGATAAACTCAATTCTTTTCATTTTGGAAGAGCGTTCTCTACCCATGTTATACTATATTTTGAATGCATTGGGATGGATTTGCACTCCCCTTCAGTCACTTTTCCATTTTTAACATATCATTCATTAATTTTGCTTTCATAGCTAATCAAATTATGGTTCTTTTGTGCCTTTGTCTGGATTTTGATTCATGGACACCCTCCAGCCCAGCCCAGACCCTTTGTTTCATAGGTGAGGAACCCAAGGCCTAACGAAACTGAGTCTGACTGGAGACTCAGCAGGGACAAACCCCACTCTCCCAACTCAGCTCCCTTCTTTCCCTTCACTCAGTATGTAACTCTTTCTTTGCATTCTTTCATTTGTGTAGTAAGCCAAAATGATTCCAGTCCTTTGTCTTGACAGGCTTATCAGGGAAAGCAGTAGCCTTCCTCCTTAAATTGTGTGGTAATCATTCTAATGGACCTGCTATGCTTAAGATCTGTGATGTACATACAGCATTTGAGGTCTAAAGAATCTGGGATAATTATGCCACAGCTCTTCTTTCATTTCCATCTGCCAATCAGCTGAATCAAGCATGATTGCCCTTTTGTGAACAGATCTTGTAGAAGTCAGAACTTATTCACCCTCTACTAGGCAGTCTGTCATGCTTGGCATCATTCTTTCTGCAAGCATAAAATTGGGCTATGAAGATTGAACAGATCTCCCAATACTCCTATTTATTATAGATATTTGGGCACTTTTATGAGATTAACTAAAATCAGAAAGTGAGGAAAACAGGAACCTAGGTGAAAAGAAAGGCAAGTGGGAATGATAGTTTACTAAGAACCACTAGGAGATGCAGTGTTTGTTAAAAATCTTTCTCAAAATAGTAAAAATGGTGATTAAGATTTTGAGCTTGAAATTTTACTTTTTCTATTTGAAAATGTTCTTTCAACAATCACTTTTGACTTCTGCTTTTAGGTTGACTTATCTATAAACAGGGTCAGATTATCTATTTTAGTGTCACACTAGCCTAATTTTTTCCCCTCATAGGTTAGCAATAATCATATTTTTAAACATTTCTCTGCCCCCCCCCCCAGGGATTGAACCTAAGGCCTCATACAGAGAAGGTACATGCTCTACCACTGAGTCACATCTCCAATCCAAGGTAACCACATTTAAAAATAATGTGATCATAGCACTGTAGCACTGTCCTCCCATTGCTCATCGATTTGCTTGAGCGAGCACCAGTAACGTCTCGCAACAAATTGTGAGACTTTTTTGGCATATTGTTTGGCATATTGAGTACGTCACGGGTAGCTGGCCAGGTTTTGCTGTGCAGGCGAGATACTCTCAGTAGCTTGCTGGGATCTCCGAGAGGGGGAGAGGAATCGAACCTGGATTGGCCATGTCAGCCATGTGCAAGGCAAGCACCTTACCTGCTGTGCTATCGCTCCAGCCATGATTATCATAAGTACCATATAAGACAAGTTTCAGGCTACGATGGATCATATATATAACAGCTGGGAGTCATCTCTAAAAAGTGCCTGTAAACTGGTCTCCACAATTCAGTTTAGTATAATAGAAAGACAATGGGAAGGTGTATTTTGGGGGGTCAGAGACAATTATTGGGGGAAGAATACAGTCTGGTTGAGGGTGTGGATTTGGAAAGCTGTATGCATGAAACCCTATCATTACCAGTACTATAAATTATGGTGACTAAACTTTTTAAAAAATCAAGAGTTAGTATGAATAGGAACTTTCTGTTAAATGTCTCCATTGACTTTAAGTAATGATGTTATTTTTCAATGTAAATGTTTTCTTCTAATATCGACTCATTCAATTCTACAGTAAAAGGATGATACATAAAATCATCCTTTTGTAACAAGTTATATTTTAACATGATTATATAGAGCAAAAAAAAATGGCCCTGATCAGTTTGAAAAATATTACACCTTTCAAAATATGTAATACTCGTAATACTTGGGCATGTTACTTCAGGCGATGGGTATTCTTTTTAAAAATAATAGTGGGAGAATCTATTACTTTAATGTGATTACAATATAATTAATGCCACAAATAAAATATAATCCTCACATTTATGCAAGATATATGTTAACAAAATAAGATAATTAGGGAAGTTTCATGCTGGACAGATAGTACAGAGGGGTTAAGGAGGTTGCTTTGCTTATAGCCAGTCAACCCTAGTTCAATCTGTGGTGTCACATGGTCCCCGATCCCCTCTAGGAGAAAATCCTGAGCACAGAGTGAGGACTAGCCCTGGAGCACCACCAGTTGTAGCCCCAGAGTAAAAGAAGCTTCATGATTTTCACTGATATTTTATATTTACTTTGAATATATTTGTATTTATATTAACAGCCTAAACTAAAGGGACTTTCCTTCCCTTTCTCTCTTTAAGATCCTAGACCTTGGCTTATCATTTCATTGGCGAAACTCAATTTTGAAAGCATATGTATTTATTTCAGACACTTGATAGGTTCTAGGAATGGTGAAAAGAAACAGCATTTCCTCCTCACAGAATTTCAATTCACCTTCAAAGAACATAGATGTAAAGCGAAATCTAAATTCACACTTCTTTTCTCACTTTGATGAGACACTACATCTCCGGCCTCTGATTCATCTCAGTTACTAATCTTGAAGAATTTAATTTAATTAAATATCCCTAAACTCAGCTCGACCCCATGACTCCTTCCGGAAATTCTTTGTTTCATTCCATAAATATAGTAAAGTAAAGGGCCTCCCGTTGATCATCGATTTGCTCGAGCGGGCCCAGTAACGTCTCCATTGAAGACTTTGTTGTTACTGTGTCTGGCATATCGAATACGTCACGGGGAGCTTGCCAGGCTCTGCCATACGGGTGGGATACTCTCAGTAGCTTGCCGGGCTCTCCAAGAGGGGCGGAGGAATCAAACTTGGGTTGGCAATGTTGGCTGCGTGCAAGGCAAACGCCCTACCGCTGTGCTATCGCTCCAGCCCCATAAATATAATGGTCTGTATATTTGTGTTTTTACTCTTAAGCTCTTTAGGGCAGAAAACATAATGGAGAAAGTTCTTCCTTAGCTCCTTGGAATTTTTAGCCTACATAAGTTCACCTTTCCCACCTCCGAATAACAGTGTTCCTACGAAGGCTTAGGTAAGTTAAGATGACTTAAAATGAAAAAGCAATTAAGTGTGTGTGTGTGTGTGTATGTGTGTGTGTGTGTGTATGTGTGTGTGTGCGCGCTGATGCAGATAAAACTCAAAGCTTCACACTGAGGCGCATTCCTGATGGACCATTAATTTACGTGGAAACAATTTTGAGTGTTCCCAGACACACATGAGAAACAAACAAACAAATAATACATAAAACCTAAAATGACACAAGTATGTAAAGCTA